TGAACCATGTTGGGGATTCGCATATCTTACTCACGAAGCCCATCAAATTCGATGATTCGGATGAATATATCGAGCACGCACCCAGTAAATCTTTCCCAATGTCACCGTAGCGACCGGGACATTAGCTCCCACCTCTCTCTTGCCCGCCCCCATCAAATAAAAAAGGGACGATCGAATCCCAAAGATCACGCTTTCAAAGTAGTGCTGATTTCATTGGGAGATTCACTCTGTTTTTTTACTTTCTTCTCCCTCGCGGAGCCAAAGAACGGACAGGAAGTTGCGGAGCATTCGAGTGCTCCGAGGAACCATGTCCGTCCCTGTTCCTTTCTCCCTCTCCACAGTCGCTCCCATTAGCGCAGGATATGCAGCGGGACAAAACTCATATGATGAACGCGAATCACATCGTGCAATTCTCCGAGTGTGTCCCCCCCCCGCTTCCATATGTCGGGTCTTTTCAATCGAGATGCGAAGCTCTTGTTCGTGCCGCGATTGTTGCATCACTTCGTTTTCGTGCCAACCCCGGCCACGTGTTGTCTTTCGAGAAATTCTTCGAGGCGGGCTCCCCGCGAGATCCCCCCCAACCTTCTCTCTCTCTCTCTCTCTCGGCGCACGCTTTTACCCGATCCCTTGCGCGCGCACGAGAATAATACATTTCGCGAGCACCCGCATGACGCACCGTGCCGCGATCCGCGACGACTCGCTGCTCGCACACGCACTTGTGATTGGGGGGTCGAGCCTCGGAAACCTCGAACGACACGGAGACAGGGAAGACGGGGGCTCTAACGGTCGGTGCGCGACATGCTTCGACGAGCTGCCGCGCACTAACGCGGGGGGCGACGACATGGCGCGATCGCCGATCGATCTTTTTCCATCGATTATCCGAGTGTGCCCGAAAAAGTCCCCCACATCCAACTGATGCTGGAGAAACTTGTGTCCATCCCCTTCATCTTTGCATTAGAGGGACAAGAGAATAAAAACCCATCTTGATTTCTATTCTCCTGTTAGTTGCGTGGGGGGTAGGTAACTCGTTTACGGGCAAGAACGATGACCTCGTCGAGTCTTCGAGTTCGATTGCTGCAAGAGCAATTTGGGTGCCTTGTGTTCGATCGCACCACGTAGGGAACACGAGAAGATCACGAGAAGATTAGGGGGACACGAAAAGATCCATCATCTGTGGGCTGATGAGGGACTCGATTCAGAAGATTAATGTGATCCTACTCTGTGATTCTGCTGCATAGCTTGTCGTTAAAATTTAGTCTCGGGCAATCATTACGAATTGCATTATGATGTGGCTTTCGTACCGATTTTGAAAACTGATTAGAAGACGCAATTCCCGTGCCCCCATCTCCCCTATTTGGAGCCCTGTCGATGGACTTAATCCTGTCCGAAGATGATTGGGCTGATTGTTCGGATTGATTAAGATTTTGGGCAGCTTCTTTTGCACATTGGTTTTGTTTCTAAGAGATCCTCCGCTTGGTAATCGTAACGATCGGATGCGTTCCACGTAGTAGACCAAGCCGTCGAAAGAGCTATTCTGAGTAACCGCACGGTATGGTGATTGTTTGGGGATGGGCGTTGATTCGTGAATTACTTGACAAGGTCTTTCTTATCTGATGTGAGATAAGGAATGTCACGACTCCCTTCTCGAAGGATTGATTTTCACGTCAGTACTAGTCGATGACCCTATCTATCCATGCTCCCTCCGCTATTCCAGAAGCCCGCTAGGAGTTGCACATTGTCCAAGCCCTTTCACCACGACGGTCATTCTTCACCCTCATTGGATCAAGTATGGTCTAGTCTGTCCATGAACTATACTCCTATTGGAGGGGCTTCTACTCTAATACCATTTTGTAATAACCTGACTAAGTCCACGAGAGCAGAGCCGCCAAAAGGAGTACTCTAACTAATTCCACAAGGTAATGACCTTTTATGGAGTGAGTGTTAGACTCGTGAATAACTAAACAAGGCATTTCCCATCCGATGTGAGATTTGAGATGTCACAAGCTCGCCAATTAAATAACTGATAAATCGACTCAATCCACAACAGCCAAACGACCAAAAAGAGTGTGCTGAGTAGTTAGAGAAGGCGATATTCATCCGATGATGGTTTAGACTTTGAATTACTAAATGGGGTGTACCACTACCACCCGGCGATACTTCCCTATTTGATATGTCGCTCTATTTTTTTTTTTTTTTCTATCCTCCAACGTCTTAAAAATTTGCTAGGAGCCGCATCTCGTTCGAGTCCTTTTTACAACCACCGTCGCTCCCTGCCCTTGTCGATTTGAGTATGGGTTCCACAACCACGCATCTAATGGAAGGGAAGCTGCTTAATATCATCTATAACGACCCGATCTATTTCATGTGACCCTAACCACAAAAGCGAGTACTCTAAGTGATCGCACAAAGTTTCGACCAACGAATGTTGAATCACGAATCACTCAACCGCATCTCTCCCGCCCCCACCCGATATTCGGGATGCGATCCTAACACACTGGTAAAACTACAGTGAGATTTGAGTGGGACATCTTGGCACTCAAAGCTCGATGCTGATGTGATGGAGACAGTTTTGAGTTTTCCCATTTGTTTCTTCAATGTCTTGGGTCATAAAAGCGAAAGAAGAAAGCGCAGGTCCACCAAGCCTCCCCCGATTTCGCAGCGCCATCCGTGACGTCGATAGGCCCATCTTGCCATTTTTAGCTCAATCTGGGCCCGCCAAACACCGAGCAAGTGGGAGTAGGTCCACAGCAGTACTTTGAGGGAAATACTCCCAGCCACAGAATATGCCTAGGGACGGAAGCGAGACCCACGATCGGTCCGCTGGACTTATTCATGTTAGGACTAGGCGCACAAACACAACGAAACAGAGAGTAAAGACGGGAAAAAAGAAAAATCGAGACACGATATTTCATCTGGGTTCGCTTTTTAAATTAGGGTTACACCCAGCAGAGGATTCTACTATAATTAGCAAATTCCACGTCTTTGTTACAACTCTCAATTACAAAGAAATAGATTATATATAGGCGATAGCTATTCACGAGTCCAAGCCTAAACTACCAATGAAATATGGGTCCAGACTATAAAACCCTTTGGCGGCCCCCGTGCCTTACTGTCGATAAGGAGTATAGACCACGCCACAACAATTCCGAATCCGTACCGACAAGTTCAGGGACCCGAACCGATCGCAATCGCTGACGGTGCGAGACCCACGCGACCAACGGCTCCACACCAATGGCCGTAATCGACAAATCCCATGCGCCCCGAATAAATAATATTATCTTCTAGTCCAAGATTCCATGGGGTTACGTGACAACGAAAACCTACTGTTTGTTTTGGACAATGTGCTGTCGGAGGGAATCGAGATACGTGAGGATATGGTTGATGTGGGGCGAGCTTTTGTCTGAAGTTGAAGTTCCAATGACTCCTTTTATAAAGCTATAGAGGGAATGCATCTCTTTTCGCTTTCCAACACTCGCGAAGCGAACCCAACCCAATGGACCACGTTCTTTTGGCGCACCACAAACGATCCCACTCTCTCCTTCCAATTCCATCACGACTTCGACTTCTTAAGTTTGGCTTCTTCTCCTTGGTACTTTATTCCCCCTTCCAAGATACATGTCCCCTTTTCGTCCCGCGGCTCGCATGTACCGCGAGAATTTTCATCGCCGGTCCGACCGATAGCAAAAAGGAATTCGATTCTGTCGGCTGATGGCGTATAGCGGCGGCGGGGGGAATGATCGTCTATCGGGGTGACAGGTTGAATACTTTGTCGCCTCGAAATCGCGGTCAACGGCGACGGCACTTACTTTCGTCGCCTTAGGCGTGAAGCAAAAGCGACGTGAAAATGTGGTTTTTGCACCCTTAGGATAAAATCAAGGAGACAAATTCTTGGATTCCCTGTTTTTTAGGCGATAAAGGGGCACCCATAAGAAGGAAAAAATTAAAACAAAAGGGAAAGCAACAGGCAATGTAGCTAGCTTAGGGGCGCAATAACTCTATAAATACCTCATATCTACTTGATAATTTCTCCTTTATGTCATTCTCAAGCAACTGTATTTCCCGCGCAAAGTACCCTAGCGTCATCTAAAATATCACGGCATAACTAACAAGTGACTCGAACTCTCGATCGTATCGGCATTTGGCTACTAGCTCTGATTAATGTTGTGCCGGACATATGATTATTTATTAACATAATTCGGATACGCTAAGAAATGTCGTACAATGTATATAGCGAACATCCTGCGACCCTCGTCTCTGATTCTATCCTACAAGTCCCTGGTTTTTATGGGCGTGGTGGGTAATTGGTGTCCCGGTGCCCGTTTCAGACATTGGTGGGTAATTGGATGCGGCAAAGTTATCGTCGCATCACTTCACGGTCGCATGTCGCTTGTACATTCGATTCGAATTCACGATTCTAGGGGCGATAGGGACCAATTCTAGGGGCATCCACCACCACCATCTAACCAAAAAAAAAAACGTGAAGAGACATACCTTAAATATTTTCCGTAAAAAAAAAAAGTACGGATATTTTACGTCTAATTGATAGTTTCTCCTTTACGTCATTCTCAAACAACCGTATTTCTTGCACAAAATACTCTAGAGTTATGTAAAGCATCATGGCACGATTGGTGAATGATTCATACTCCCCATCATATCGGCATCTGGCTATCAGCTCTAATCATTATCGCGTTGGACATATAGTAATTTATCAACACAAACCGGATCCACTAAAAAAAAATGCCGTACGAACGCATATAAACGAAGGCCGGTCCGGTCCGCGGTTTCCAATTCTCGTTTGCAAAAATGAAAAACGGCGCCGGGGAAATAACGTTTTTCGTTTCACGAAACGGCGTGCCGTATTTGCTCATCGTGCCTCGCGTGGGCTTGGGCCCTTGGTTAATTTCTCCCGTGGGCTTGGGCTATATATAAAGTCAAAAATTTCCATCGTCATCCGTCGCTCTGTCATTTCTCAAAAAGAGGCGCGAAAAAAGCAGAAGAGAGAGAGAGAGAGAGAGAGAGAGAGAGAGAGAGAGAGAGAGAGAGAGAGGGGAGCGGCGATGGCAGGTAGCGATGCGCAGAAGCAGCTCCTGACTCTGATACGCGACGTCGCCTCCGAGAAATCACAAGGAGGTAATCTTCTCTCTCTCTCTCTCTCTATCTCATCTTCTTCGTCGCTCTCCTTCCTCTCTCTATCTCATCTTCTTCGTCGCGACTCCTTCCTCGGCCGCGTTCGAACGGGGAACGAGAGCATTTTCGGGAGGGGCGACGCCGGAAGCGTCGGTGGGAATCAGCGATGTAGGATCCCGAGATGCTGAGCTAGGCGTGGCTGCAGCACCGGCTGCGGCAGGCGACGCGCGGGATTGCTCCGTTGTTCTCGTTGCTACTTCGTCTTGTCGCGACGGGACGAGTCGATCGAAGTTTTGAGCTCGATTTGATTTCGATTTGATTGCTTCAAAACTCGTGAGAGGAACGAGCTTATTTAGCTGTCGCTGAGCTAGGCGTGGTTTCAGTACCGGTTGCAGCAGGCGACGCAGGATTGCTCCGTTCTCGGTTTTTTTTTTTTTGTCTTGTCGCGAACGAGTCTATCGAAGTTTTGAGCTCGATTTGATTTTGATTTGATTGCTTTTAAACTCGTGAGAGGAACGAGCTTATTTAGCTGTTGCTGAGCTAGGCGTGGTTTCAGTACCGGTTGCAGCAGGCGACGCAGGACTGCTCCGTTCTCGTTTTGGTTCGTCTTGTCGCGATGGGATGAGTCGATTGAAGTTTTGAGCTCGATTTGATTTTTGATTCGGTTGCTTTTGAAATTCCGCGAGAGGAACGAGCATATTTAGCCGAATGCTTAGGGTTTCGGCATTGTGTCTACGGTCATGGGTCAACTACGGTCACGCGAGTGTTTAAGTGTTTGTCCGTGTTGAGATGCGCAGAGCGAAGAGTAGCTGGTCTCAGGAAGCAAATCGAGGAGCTGCGGTCGGCACTGGATGCGGTCAACGCGGAACTCGAAGATGCGAAACTCTGTAGGGAGACTGCCGAGCAAGAGCTGAAAGGCTACGAAGTGGAATTGGCTGTAAACGAATCTGCTATTCAGACTCTCGAGGTTCTGCATTGACTGCTGTTAATTACATCCAGTTCCTTCTCTGTCACGTTCGCAATTACGTCTCGATTTGTTTTTTTACTACCGGATTGTTTCTAGGCTAGGATTTCCACCATTCAGGAGGGGATATCTGCTGTTCGGTCGGATCTACAGGATCTGAAGGTGACCATTAGCTATTCCTAATTATCGATTTTACCGTGCCGAAATAGATTTTGAAAGTGGTGAATTGTTGTTCATGCTTTGGCTCTTGGCTGTACAAAGAGAAAAGACAGGGAATCTAGGTACGAATGCGTTTTCTCTGTTGTTGATTCACTTACTTTTGATCGAGTCTTATTGCTGCGTGTTATTGTGAGTCCAGAGACGAGTTTATCGACAAGATGTATGAGATGAATGCCGAAATAAGGTCTGTCTCATTGAGCATATCATACCGGTTTGCTTCCGCCATCTCACATCAAGTCCTTGAAGTCTCTAAACTATTTGTTGGTTTGTTTACTCGGCGAAGCAGGAATTTCCAAAAGACGGCATTCAGAGATGTTGGTAAAGAGGATATCATCGGAAATTCATCCGGTATTGCCTTGACTCCAAATCTTTTATCACTAGAATTCCCAGTTCCGCATGCTTTTCTCTTTCTTCCTTTGCAATTTTCAAATATTTTTTCCATTCGCAGGAATGGATTTTTTAAATGGTTATTGTAAAATCTTGTGTACTCATGCCATCATGTATTGTTATTTTATGTTGTTTAGTTAGTGTTGTCTCACATTTATTTTCTTAATGTGTATCAATCATGGAGGAAAGAAGTCTTTCTGTGCCCTCAGCATGGTAAAGTAAATAAAAAAGGGCAAAAAAAGAAAAATAAAAGGAAGGCTGTTTTTCATTTCTGGTTCGTGCAAAGTCTTTCAATGCTAATCGTCCTCATTATCTGAGACTAGAAGTACAATATACTAAAACACGGTATGGAGGTCATTTCGCCCGCAATTATATGGCTCCTGTAATATTGAGGATCAACTTCTTTTCAGAAGATAGCTGCCTATCTGTGAAGGAGGATGTTCGTGGGATAGCTGACAGAACTCTTGAGGATAAACTGGCTCATGTGATAACTGAACTGACTAAGGAAGAAGAGATGTTTCAAGTAGAGCAGAATATGCAAAAGCAGGTGAATACGGTCCACTGCATTTGGATGTGCTAGCACAATAATTGATACCTCAAACACTTATGTCTGCTTGCGTGTGGTGGGAAATCCTGAAACTGAAGTTGGTGGACTGAGAATGTTGAGAAACAACTGAATAATAGGTTATTTTTCAGGTCCAGCAAGAATCGCTTGATTTGGAAATGAAAGTGCCGTTAATGGAGGCAATTGCGAAGGCAACAAGAGATTTGCAGGACCTGACTAGATATCCTTCCCTGAAAGTAGATCATGCATTGTCAAGTAGACAACATTTGCTTTAAGCGTCATGCATGAGCACATATTCCAATCTCCAGTAGTCATCATATTTAAGAAAATTCACGATCTTTTTCCTTATTTGTGTATAGATTGGAGCCATACATATACAGATAACCAAGTCATGTAGTCACATTATGTTGTAAATGTCATGAACTGCCATTTAGCGAGAGTAGTTTATCTTTGCATGGAGATGAAGCATCGAAGAGGACAATGTTAGGGAAGACAGTGAAGTAGAACTCTTTTACCTTGACGGAAACAAGCAGAGTTCCCAGTTAGAACAGAAGTATTCTGGCCTAGCTGAGGAGCTCCAAAGGAGGAGTGTCTGTCCTTCTTGTCGTCAAAACAACATTGAGGCTCTTGAAGGCAGTCTTCTGATTAATGAAGTGGACTGATGCTTGTAAGCTTTTCTTTTTATTTGAATTACCGAGATTGAGTTTATTACTTTTATTTGATTAGACATCCATCATAAATGGACTATGCTTTTGCTGCATTCCCATAAGGATGAGGCTTCAGCATTCAAGCTCAAGGTCTTCATCTGGCACAGAGTTTTCATGGATCCTTCTTGCGGCCAAGATAGAGGTATATCGTCTACTGACTATGTAGCTAATTTTGTTCTGCCTGCATGACTATCAAAATTTCTTATTTCCTACTGATTTCCATTGATTGTAATAACATTCATGCTTGAGGGGTAAAAGATCCAATCGCAATTCTTTCATTGCGTTGTGCTTTCATGCTGTTCTCGTGTTATCATTTACATTAATTCAACTATCAATCACTTCTATCTCTTATCTCTTGAATAAATTTGCTTATCACCTACTCTATTTCTAAATTACAAAAATCACCTTTAAAAGACCAAGAGGACTTCTGATCAAGTAGCTTTTTAGAAGCTGTTTTTGATGACATAGTTGATGGAAGGTCATCTGTGTCCAACATGACTTGTTATCTATAACTTCAGTGTAGCTTCTGGCAATGATTCCATATCCTTGACAATCAGTGGCATCAATGTAGATGTGGCATTTTCACAGTGAACACTCTTCCCCTGCAACGGCAACATATCGATTACTCTTAATTAGTTATGTGCTCCTAAAGAATTGAAATACGTGTTCAGGAATAATTTTCATGCTAAGTTTCCGGAAAATGAGATTTAGGGAAATATTAAGCTCTGATAAAAAAAATGGAGATGCATAGAAGAATTACACTTTGGAGTTCGATTGAAGGAGCTGTGGATGTGAAAATGGCAGGCAGTGGAGCAACTATGGGGTTGGATTTTGCTACTTCTATCTGTGTGGCAAATAGAGCAGAAACCGGCCGATGATCAGAAAATTTGCTTTCACTGCGAAAGTAGGAGACTTGCCTCACTCCTTTTCCATACCACAGGATCCTATCACACCTGCCACCATTAGTATGACAATATTTTCTTAGATGCTTTGCTGATAAATGAGAAAGGGCAACCCTAGAAACTCTTCTACTTGAGTCAATAAAGTAGTACTAAGATGATTAATACCATGCTGGAGTCCGTTGCTTTTCCCTAAATCTGCTGGGTAATCCTCCTGAGTATCTATTACCATTCAGTGAGGAATACTTATACGTAGGTGGGAATTCTATGTGCCCCTCTTTCCAGCCCTGGAACACTCCGTCTTCTTGTTCTTTCTGAAGCTGGTCAAACTGTTGCAATGCCCTCCAGTCCTGCGCTCTGATCAGTTCCCTGGGTAAATCATTCTCCAAGTACAACCTGTAGTTCAGATCCCCAAACCAGAATATTCGACTGCATGAAAGCATTGTATTTGTAGTCAATAGTGCGAAATGGATGTCTCAGCCAAGATATTTTAGAAGATGACTTCTTCAATCAGAAATGATCAGTCATCTGATTGCTAGAATACAGTGCTCGGAATTGCTAATGGAACCTAATCTTTAGAATCTATCGAGCTTCTGATTCTACACGATAATGTATAGATTAAAATGCAAAAGAATATAGTGGGTCAATAGCAAGGATGGGGGGGCTCTCTGGCGGGGGTTCATGTGTGGTGATAGAGATAAGTGGAATTAGTAGTAATGTAGAAAATCATGGGAACCATTCTGCTGCAAATGCTCTAAATTACTTGTCAGTCATAGATGTTCCCTTTTTTCTGTGAAGAAATCTGAAAGACGGGCCACAATGTTTTGCTTGATGGGGAGATGTATAGTTTCTTTTTTTCTTTTTCTTTTTTTTTCAGAATGTATAGTTTCTTTTGGCCTAATGAATATCCACAAGTAAGGAAAGGTCTGCCTTCTGTCCTCGATACAGGTATCAAACGGGTGGGTCGGGTCGGGTCGAAAATAGTTCGACCCATATTTGACCCATTTAACTCGTTATGACCCACATTCATGTAGTGTAAATCTAACGACCCATACTCGACCCATACCCGACTCAACCTGTATTCTGAAAGACTTTAATATAAAATTCAATTTAGAAAAAAAATTATTTCTTAAAATATTTATATTGCTAAAATGCTTCAATGCAATATAAAATAAGTGAACAATTTTTATAATTTTTAAAAATAAATTTTATTTTTTTTATATCTTTATTTTCTTTTTTAAAAATGAAAATTTTAATTATTTTTATTTTTTCTTTTTCTTTTTCTTTTTTCCTTTTTCTTTTTCCTTCTTCTGGCCGGCTGTCGGCGACCGGCGAGCTTCGAGCTCAAGCTCGCCAGATTTTGGCGTGCTCGAAGCTCGCCTATGGCCGGTCGCCGGCAGTCGCCGTGGCCGGCAACCGGCTGAAGGAGGAAATAGAAAAATAAAAAAAATAAAAATGAAAAATAAAAAAATGAAAATAAAAGAAAAGAATTAAAAAATCGATTTTTTAAAAAATAAAAAGAATTTTCTTTAAATAACAATTAAGCTATTTAGCCTACAAGGCTACAAGTTAATAATTTAAATGGGTCAAATATGGGTTGAATATGGGTTTGTTAATAACTTAAATGGATCAAATATGGGTTGAATATGGGTTTGCAAACCCATATTCAACCCATATAAACCTTTGGCTTTAATGTTGGAAATCCATTTTGACCTGTTTTCAAAATTTCAAGAGATCCATATTCAACCTGGGCCTACTAAAAATGAGTTAATAAATGGGTTTCTGACCCATATTGCCACCTCTACTCCTCGATAACCTTATTGATGATTCGTAGCAAAATCACTTACTCATGTCCGAGGATAGTTAGAGGATGATTTTTGCCGTCATCTTTATTGGAATGAGGGAAAGAAGTTCTCCTGAATATCTCCGAGACTTGGTGATTTCTTCGGCCTTCATCGCCTTTCTTCTCACCAGAGGCCAAGTGTGCAGCAATGAAGCAAAAGCTAGTTCCTCCTATAGACATGCTAACTGAAACCGAGCCTTTGTTCCCTAGATAATTCATAATTCCACATGGCACTGAACAGACTCTAACATTAGAAACACAGTATCTCCTCAGCAGATCCTTTCTCATCCACACGCTGATAAATACCCCGACCATTTTCTTGCTTGCCATGAGCTTATATTTGCTGCCGGTGTATGATTTACCACGCTTCGTGGGATGCTCTTGCATTGAAATCATCGTGCTGCCACTAATGCTCCTCCTTCCTTCATAATCTGAAGTTCCCGCATACTGATAGTGGTCATCTGAGATTGGATTTAGCATCGGGGTTAACCAGGGGCATCCATATCTCTCATTCAGTGCTTTTCCGATGAGCATGTTCCAGTTTGCTGCTTCTTTAAGGTCTTCTGCTCCAATTACGTTCCTTGTCTTTAGCGGTACAATCTCTTGAAATCTGCTAGCACCAAAAAGATAGACAAATCAATGATTCTCCACTACGAATTGGAACAGACACCGCTAACGTTTATCTAGAAGTGCTGCTTACCCTAGGACATACATATCAGCTGCATCTTTAAGATTCAGCCAGTCATCCAAATCCTCTGCCAAGCTCCCAACTGGTGACCTCCCCGCCACATTCCACGTACCCACAAAGATTCTAAAATCCTCGAGATATTGTCAAGTCAATCAGAAAAATAGGATCACTCCCTCGGTCCTTTCTCCGTATTTCAAAGGATGCGATCATCTTACCTCAGTTCATTTCTTGGAACGCAAGCATCAATCTCCATGGCCTGAGCTGACAATTCAAACGGGTCTTCTTCATCTTCACAGTCGGTGTCATCTGTACACACAAAGAGAATAATTATTTTCTTCTCTTCTCCCCTTATCCTACCCTTGTGCTTCCAGATGCAAGGAAAAACAGAAAGAAGGAAGAGGGAAAAAGACCTGAAAGTTCGCCCCAACGAAACAGGTCGTCTCTTTTGTACTTCCACAGGAACCACTTACGCAACCCTTTACCTGATCTCCATCCCCGGTTGATGCCATCCATGGCTCTCCAGTGGGATACAGTCCATGCCAAGACCAGCAAAAAGTTACCTACATATGCTCATGTTTCATCCTACGAAAACCCTGTTTAATCATCTCTCATCCGCGGCTGCTTCCTGTCTGCCGACCTTGAACGCGGAAACGCAAAGTTTAGCTGTCAGAAAAGAACCCATTGTGTCAATCGCCATAAACAAGAGAGACGATTTGCTTATATGTTTTTTCTAAAAGCGGTGTTCCCAAAGGGAGGGAAGGTTTTGAATATACCACAGAACAAAGTCAAAATGCTGGCTGGACTCGAGAGGAAGCTGAACTTCGGTGCGAAACTTTTAAGCGTGAACAGCATAAAAAAAAAAAAAAGAGCACCAACTCCAAACATGTGATAGATAAAGCGAAATGATATAGGCCTCACAGGAGTGTCATCACTTGCTTCCAAAATTCAAGCCTGGTAGGTGTTGCTGGTCGCATTCACGTACGTCTCGTGCAGATCTCATTTTACGTGACAAGATTTTTCTTCTTTTTAGCAAGTCGTTGTTTGACAGCGGGTGATATTTACTTGGAAAGGTGGAGGACTGGAATAGGCACGAAAAGATATGAAACCTTTAGCATTCCTATAATAGTACTTGCGAAATAAGTCTGTATAAAGCCGATTTGAGTGGTCCCCCTTTCGTCTATCCCCTCATAAATTACCCTGCTATGCTGTGCGATTGCGACCAATAGTATGCCTATGTTTTAAAGAACATTAAGACTACATAAGTAAAAAAAAAATCACTATTGGTTAACACTCAATAAGTCTGTAGAATATATCTTCATCGACATGTTTGGTTTAACTTCTCTGCAGTAGTTGCAACCACAAAGTTTGAACATATTCTTTGGTGATTTTAGTTAAGTGAGTAAGGTGTTATGTAAGTTACAACTAAACATTTGGCCACCAGAGAGAATGACACGTGTATTTCATTAATAAACATATTTTTCATTAATTAATTATTTTAAGCAATACGAGCGATCGTTTCTAGAGAAATATTTCTGCGATCTTTTATTTCTTGCGAAATAATCGCACTATATCAAAGGTCATTTACTTATCTATATGTCGGTGATATTTCTCAAATGCCAAGGAGTGACGATGGGGTCCTGTATCTTAAATGTCACCTGCCAAAGGAGTCCGAAAACTTTCATATCTTTTTTCTTAAGGAGTGGTCACAATGATTGGAAATGTCTTTAATCAACCCCACTTATCTTGAGGTGGTACACTTCCACTTGCACTTTTCAAGTTTCACGCTGTTTAATATTAAGTGCAAAATTTTACAGATTTTACTGTTACATACGTATATAAGCGAAGACTTTTTCATTAGTACACCGAGCTTGGGACGAATTTACATCCTGCGGATTTCTTTGTTGGGTGGGAATTTCAGTCCTTCGGCACTACGTGTGCAATATCGAAACGATTAACATGTAGTTGTCACTTGTTTTACCCATTTACTCTCGGACATCTAACCTCGTTCTTTACTCCCCACCAAAGTTGACACAAGACAAAGTTCCCAACGCCCCCTCCAATCTTTTACAAATATACCAGCTGATGCCATGCCATGCCACGCCACGCCATGCAAAGGGGAACATTCGCACTCGATGGTCCACATAATGAAGAGCAAAGACAAAAAAAGGAAGAAGAAGAAGAAGAAGAAAAAAAAAAGGAAGAAGAAGAAGAAAAAAAACAAAGATAGTGGCCAGATGAGATGGGGGGGTTCCCATTCGAATTTAGATAAATTTGGGACCCGTGGGGGGCGATTGGTGGGGAGTAGTAGTGCAATGAAATTGGGTGTTGTAGCTTTCAAGGGTCGCGACATTCCGGACGAGAAGGTCGTTGGTTGTGGGGATTGCTATTTTGGCAGCTAAGTTTCGCCGTCCGCAATAAACGGTGGGGTTGCTTCTGAGGATGGGACCAAAGCAATACGCACTCGGCTCTGAATCGATGCAATTAAGAATTCCAACCCTTGTCCTGTCCTCCCTCCCCCCACTTCTCCATCCTCGCATTGTGGCCTCAGAAACTCTCTCTCTCTCTCTCTGATGGCAGGTGTTGCTTCGCCAAGCTGGCTGAGAGGGGGAGCATCTAGCGGATGTGGACTTCCCATCTTGATTTTGATTTTCCTTTCAATAGAGGGCAGATGGTACTTGAATTGCTTGAACGTACGACCACTGATTAGTGGACTACTGCAAAAATCTGGCCTTATTAGATAGTACCTATTGAGATTGTTTCAAATTCGGAAATCGTCCCGTGTGAAATGTTAATGCTATGATTAGAAGCAACCTGGAAGACGAAAAAAAAAAATGGATAGAAAGTGCGTCTTGTTTTAAATTCGCACTCCTTTCTTTTCTTTGAAAGTATTCACAAATTTTTTTTTCTCCACTGCACGAATAGCAGTTACTAAACAAATAGAGGATTTATTTGCAGATTAATGATCGATTCGGAGTTACTAGTTCTACAAGAAGCAAGTTACTCGATCATTCTCTGAAATCTGTAGTCAAATCGTCAAGACACTAAAGGGTTCGCAAATGGTATGGAGGATTTATTTGCAGATTAATGATCGATTCAGAGTTACTAGTTCTACAAGAAGCAAGTTACTCGGATCATTCTCTGGAAATTTGTAGTCAACTCGTCCAAGACACGAAAGGGTTCGCAAATGGTATGCAGGAGTTTTGAGCACGTTTGAGAGGCGGGAGTGATTGATCATGGAATGCATTGGGAGATCAGAGTTGGATAACGACAAAATATTTTATTTTATAAATATTATCGGCCCCGCCCCGGGGGGGGGGGGGGGGCCCCCCACAACCAAGGGGGACAACCCCCCCCCCCGCCCAAAAAAAAAAAGAAGGGGCACAAAACCAAAAAACCCAAAACCCCCACCCGTCCGGGGGGGGGGGGGGGGTTGCCTCCCGCCAATCAAAAATTCAAGCGAAGAAGTATGTATCTAAATAGGAGGATTAAAGGAAAAAAAAGGACATTCATGCGCTCTTGCCCTAGGATTTGAAAGAAGAAAGAAGAAAAAAGAAAGAAGACATTACTAAACCATGCTGAAATTTCATGTCGACTTTTGCAGTGTATTTTAGTTTCCAATTTTCGATTTCATGCCAAGTTTACGTAAATAGTAATGTTAGACATACTAAAAATTCGTCTACTGAATTTATTCATTAGGTGACGAGGCAAATTCTTGTGAGTGCTAAATAGGTCTCTACTAAACTCGAATGACCAATTATAGATTGTTATAGCGCTCTGTAAAACCAAATTAGTAGGAATCTTAGTTAGTGTCCCTAACTCTGCTTGTCTTGATATTACTTGGTTTTAGTCGGTTAAGCCGTCCCTCTAAATTCCATAGGCACTTTTCATTCCCTGCCAATTTTCAATTTCCAACATTTTAATTTGCTTGTAGTTTTTACCCAATTTCAAAGATTTCATCACATTGTGGTCATATTCAAACCGAGGGGCGAAATCAATTCATCTCTGTGGTCTGAAGTCGGAATTCGCCTTCTGATTTAGTGACCAACACAATCCCAAAACTGTGATGAATAAGCAATTTGTTCACAAAGTTGAGTTTGTATCTGTCATTGTAAAGCGGTTGGGGGCACATCGACATCCGAATGTCAAATTCTGGCAACAATTCTGGACAAAGATGTAGAGAGAGAGAGAGAGAGAGAGAGAGAGAGAGAGAGAGAGAGAGAGAGAGAGAGAGAGAGAGAGTTATAACTTTGATTGGCTATGATTGAATGCCTCTCCAAGATTGTCTTGCCTCTCTGACGACGTGGAGTCCAGCGTAGTCCCAAACGACCGCTTGGCTCGCTTCTATCCAAAAAGGGCGAAAGGAAAGAACAAAGGCTGGCTTTCATTTTTAGCTCCATTTGATCAGGGGATCAACAGATGTTTGGCGCCGCATGTTCATGCAATGGGAGACAAAAGGAAGTGCATGCTAACACATGGTTAAACACGTCGCATGATACTTATCGCCGGTCCAAAAAAAAGAACAAGAGAAAGAGAAAAATATAGCCCCGCGACACATTCAGGAACTCAAAATCGACCGAACTCTGCCCCTTCTTTTATCAATAATTGTCTCCTGCTGTGACACTACTCGTGAATTTGATAGAATCGAACATGACACACAGCTAGTTCACTAACAGGAACTCTACCATGTGACCGAAATTAGTTGGGGGAAACTTGGCGATTGCCGTGCTGCGGTTTTAGGATTTAATTCTCTTTTCAGCTCCTCATCCTCCCCACTCTAAAGAATGGGAGAGTATTTCTATGAAACAATATTTCCACCATGTGGCGTCACTCATCCAATTAAGCATGTGGGCGATCCATCTTCGTCGCATATTGAAACATCACAAAAACAAAAAGAGGGGATAGTTGATCAGATACGTTGCACCGACCGTCGTGTCGTGTGATGTAAGGTTTTCGGAAGCTCGCCGCATTTTAACTTGAAGTCTCTATCCATGAACGTAACGACCTCTTTGCTGGGTTCATACAGCATGATGGACTTGTTTTGGGCCTGTACTGTTTGAGCTGAAAAGGGGAGGAGGATATTACTCCTTCAGGCCAAGCAGAAGGAATTTCTTCTTTGAGCTCTGCATAATCTCGCATTCTCCTCATTTTTCTCTCTCATACATATAGATAGGACGACCATGGTACCCGCAAACTTTCATACCGCGGGGCGCGATTGGAAAAAAATAAATATTGTGTAAAACCTAAGCGCAAGGTGGTGGAATTAAGAAACTTCACCAAATACTGTACATATCCTGGCGGCGAGAAGGGCAACAACACCGACCAACCTTTGGCATGGGAACATGTTCTTCATTTTTTGGAACTTGAAACCCACCCTACATACCTTGAAACCTATAACCTACCCTGTCACAGGTTCCAAGGTCTACCCAGATTCCACTTATATTATTAATTAGACAATTGTAGTAAATTATCGCTTTTAATGACCACCACTTGCTATTACGATTTATTGATCACAAATTATATTTAGAGATACGAAAAATATAAAACATTAACAAGTCATAAAATGAAAGCTCAGACTAGTAATTCCATATTACAAACTTATTATCTAACGCCATGAAACACCGTAAAATCATGCGAAGACAAATAAAAAAAAAACACAAAACTTATTTAAGATTTCAGGTTCCACCTACCTAGAACTTGGCCCTACCCATCGAAACAAGTTTTCCAATTTTTAGAACCTGTAACTCACCTTGCATACCTTGGAATCTGGAACCTACAGGTTCCCATCGATCAAGTTCCAGGTAGAACCTAGAACATTGCTCACCCCTACCTTGCATCATGAAGCTGGTTCTTTCTTGTTTCTTGTTTCTCTTTTTTTTTTTTTTTTTTTTTCAAGCATCAATAAGGGAAATCATGGAGTCGATCCTTTTTGTTATTTAGAGATGACAATGGACTTAGACATACGTTACCATAATATAATCAGAGACTATAATAGTCCCTACTCTGGATATTTAACTGAGCTATAGGCATCCGCTCTCGATAACTCCCGAGCTCCGAAACAGAAAAATAGAAAGGAATATTCAATAGTTGCTAGCTAAAGCTGTGTAAATAAGTGATTTACAGACACATGTGAATGTGCTGACCTGCTCCATTGCTCCTCTAACAATAAACTCATCTTGGGCATCGGTACTTATCTTTTGAAGTCCTTCAATTTTGTCTGGGCGGCCTCATAGAGGTCAGCTGTTGCCTGGACTGCCAGCAAACTCCATCATTTCCTGGGTTAAACAGTCATTAACGAGTGCTTCTATGGTTCTACCATCTCTTTCCAGACAGAGCGATAAGCTGCCAATCGAACACATAAATGAGTGCATATACTCAAGGTCATAGTAACCTAATAAGAAAGGAAAACAGATTTAAAACTACAGGGATCAGAGAACTCCATGTCCTCCTTCCAAGAAACACAAAGGCTCCCACATGTACAAAGCCTGAACAGTCAATGTCACATTAGCTCAATGGGATATTGTTTGGAAGCTCCCTTATCAGATTCGACCAACATAATAGTAGACAGATGATGGTGAATGTCAATGACCAATAAAAAGTGAGATGCATGCATACATGGGGCCAAGTAGGATGGGATTTCTAGCAAGCGGGCAATGGTGATTGGTTGGTTATACCACATCATCACTATGTGGTATATTTGTGCCATAAAATACTTTCTCCCTTATTCTTAGGCTTGGGGCAATTACTCCCTGATCTTCAAGTTTGTAGCAATTAAACCCACCCCAGCATGTATCCTCCTGGCCACATTAAAAACTTTGTGGAAGTGTTACCCATCGAGTCTTCATTTGTATTTAAGTGACTGTTGAAAACAAAAGCCGCACCAATGCACCACCACGTTATCAAAGTCAAGCTCCCAGATTGTATGTTCTAGTAGAAAGGGGATGGCATTCAAATGCCCCTCAAAATATTAATTTCTTCACAAAATTTTCCAGAGAATCATCAAATTATATTTATCTTTCTTATGTTGAAAGAAGAGCGATCATGTTTTAGTGCTATAAACATCCTAAAGTTGTACCTCCCTTTTAGAAAATTTGGCTAGTTGAGACGTCAGAGTAATGGCAATTTACATCGTTTTAACTCAATTTCATGCTATGAAAGACAAAAGAGATGTACTTCAATGTCTTGCCCAGTATATAGAGTTGGAGTGTATACGATACTTTTGATTTTTTAATGTACTAAAAAATCTAATTGTAACCTATTTGAAGATCACTAGGTTACTACAAAAATTAAAAGGAGGAGATTCCAATCGATCTCTGAAATTTGAGGGGAAGATGATTTGCCTTCCAGTAAAAACCTCATGATTTATTCACAATGATGACTAATACCTGGTCACTGGAATATCTTCTCATATATTTCATAATCTTAGAGTGCAATTAAGCAGAAGGAAGAATGACCCACCTGGCGAGCTACTTGAGCGAGTCTCCGACTGTCCCTTGACGACTCATTCATTGCGTCAGATTCTTTTGGCTCTTGAACGTCATCTTCCGTATCCTCCTTTTTCTTCTTCACTTTACTCTTTCGGGGTGCAGCATTTTCATCAGTATGGTTTGAGGGCTCTCTTCTGCGCTTTCTCTGGAAGGTGTACTTGAGAGGCGTCGAGTTGTTAGTTTGAGTAAATCCTCCACTATTCATCTCTGAATCCAGGACTCTCACATCAGTCATTCCGATGTCTAATTTACCATCTTGAAACATCAGAATCTCCGCACCACTAATTTCCTTCTTCACTGACTCAGAGTCATCTATAAAGTCTTCTTCCCTGACAATCATTCTGTTATTTCTTGATTGCAATGTAGAATCTCCGTTTCCTACAACAAGGCCTGCATCCAAGTTGGGCAATAAACCCTTTTCAGTTTCCTTTGGCCGAGCATCAGCAGAAGTAAAGTTGGCATCAAGTTGATCAGCCTTACAACGACGAAGAATAGATGGTTTAGTAGTTGAAGTGAGCTGGTCAGGAAGACACTTCCTTCCTCTAGCTATCCTCTTTCTCTTGCCTTTGAGAACTATACCGTCAGCAAGGTAGTTACGATTACTCTGCAACATATCCTGCAACCCTAAGGGATTTTTCAGCTCTTTCACCTTTTCAGCCCTCAAAGAGACTCCAGAATGAGCAATTTCACCAGATTTAACACTGTCATTTGTTGAGCATGACTTGCGGCCAGAAAGAACTGGAGTTTGAGAACACTTCATGAGCTTACTAGAAGAGGGTCTTTGTGAAGTAGCTTTGTACTTTCTAAGTTGTGCCCCTCTTCTTCTTCTAGTTGGGACCTTTGAAGTTTTATTCAATTCTTTCCCAGGTAGCTTCTCTGCCACTTCCAGGGTTTCGTCCATGGAAGCTTTATTACTTCTCTTGCAGTCCAGAGCATAAACTGCTGGGGAAGTTTCTACAGCTCCTAAAGTTCGATCCAGCATGTGTCCTTCAAATGCACGGACTCTCTGTGTACATCCATTCCGGTACAGCTCAGGCTCCTTTCTTCTTGCCATGATTATGGAAGCTAAATCTGGGCTTTGATCACGACCATCCTCCAAAGGCAAATCAAACAATTGTCGGGCCTGCTTTCTTCCATTGCAGCTCTTGCGGTCCCAGGCTATGTTAACCAAGGACACATCCTCCAGAGGAGCCACAATTTCGAGCTCTGAGTCAGATGAATAGGGTACAATGGATTGAAAGGAGTTAACATGATTCTCTGGAGTTCCATCCTTACTAGGTAATGATAGTTCCTCTGGATTTTGTCCTATTTGGTTTTTCCTTGCCTTCTCCAATTCATCCTGCACATTCCTCAACTCTACTCTGAGGTCTAGGATCTTGTCTTCTGCCTCCTGTAGCTGCGCTTCAAGCTCTTGAATCTTTCCCCTTTGGCTCACAGACGTTGTTTCTGCTTCGGCTATCTATATAGAACAAAAACCAGCAACAGCTATTAGTGTCGAACGTTATCAAACAGCATATAGGGGCATATACTGAATAAATCTCAGCTTCACTCTTAATCCTTAAACCAAGTAATTTCCCTGAAGAAGTGTACATATTGAACTTAGACCAACATAATCTCACAAAAGATTGGATTTGCAGAAACTAAAGCATAAGATATACCTTTTAATTCTACAGAAAAGTTATTAAACTTTCAGAATGTCTAAATCAAATAATCAGATGATGACATTACCATTTCACTAACAATTAGTGATAAGCGCCTCTAAGTACGACAAGCACAAAACGGATTTAAGTATGCCAGGTCACATGTGCTCGAAAAGATGAATTGAATGAAGAAATGCTTTTAGCAACCGACAACTGCTATCAGTAAGGAGTTTCCTAAAATGCAATGCCAAAATGAGTAAAGCGAGAGATGGATTTCAACAATGATAAAATCTCCTCATTCTCATACAAGATTACCAAAAGAGGACGTAATTCACAAGACCCAAGCTTGCAGATTTTCCAACTGAAGGATAGTTCACCCAAGACTAAGCCTAGCTTTCATCATGCCAAGCTAACGAAACTATTCCATGTTTTTATTTCCTTCTCTCTTTTGGAGAGCTTTTGAAACTGCTCCATGGCACTTCAAACAGAATACTACGATCCAAAATGTCTATCAGGTGAGCACTATGAAAAGCAATGCACGCATAGTAGCCACGAGACATCCATAAAGCAAGCAATGCGTGGTCGAAGATCTTTCCATCTTTCTAGCGAAGTTATCATGACATCGAGATAAAACGAAATCAATCACACCCAGACAAATTGCAATTTGAATCCATCATCGGTACAGGCTGAAATTGATCGACTAACCCAGCACCTAACTTTTGCACTGTGCAGATGCTATCACCACCACTAGAAAATCACCAAATGCGTATTGATCTACATACGCGGACTTAACATTTAACTGCAAGGAAATGTGTGAGGCGCTGCCCTTTTGCTGTTCAATAGGTAACTTCAAATACAGAAACTTATCATGGAAATGCAATCAGGCAGACTAACTAACGGATTATTTCGCGAACTCCTATCTTCAAGTTTGGAATCACAATTCCACCCGAGCCATTCTCAAATCGCACATTGTGCAATCTCAGCACAGCTGCTCCATCATAATCAGATCAGATAAATCATCAACAAAGCAGCAAACAAACCTAGGCTTCAGATCAAACGGTTCGCACGCCTAAAAAGAGGCCGAAACGAAAAACAATCCCTCCCCCCCCCCGACAAGCATCAAACCAACCAAAACACGGGCCGCCAGCTCTCGAACGCACCTTGGCATCCATCATCCGCTTCAAGCGGAGCAGCATTCGGAGGCCTTCCTCCTTGGTGGCCTTCAGATCATGCTGCACCCGGAGCGCCCTGCGCTCGGACGCCATCACGCGAGCCGCCGCCTCCTTCGCCGTGTTCAGGATGATCTCCGCGTACGCCTTCTTCAACGCCACCATGCTCTTGCGAAACCGAAAAAAAAAACACAAACAAACAAAAACAAACAAAACATCAACAGACAACCAAACGGAATTACGCGATCGAGGCCCTCGCGCGCACGAGAATCGACGCCCGGAGACGCGAGAACCGCGCAACATTCCGCCGGCGAGCGGCCGGGATTGCGGGAGGCGGTGGAGAGAAGGAGCGATTCGGAGGTCCAGAGAAAGAGAAAGAGAGAGAGAGAGATGGGAAGGTTCACCTCGGATTCGTCCATTGCTAGGGCAAAGGAGGAGAGCCAGGAAGAGGAGGAGCAGCAGCAGCGGAGGAGGAGGAGGAGGAGGAGGAGGTTTATATATAGAGGCGAGGGGGAGTGTGTTCGTTTCGCCTTCGGTCAGTGTGCGGGGAAGCGGTGGTGTGTCTGTTAGGAACTGAAAAGGAAGAAAGCAAGGAAGGAAGAAGGAAGGAAGGAAGCTGGAGCAAAAAAGGTTTCCTTCCCTTCGATTTTACGCGATTGCCCCTCGTTTTGAAATTCAATTACGGGGTTCCGCGTTCGTTAACGATGGTGTCCAGTCCGTTGGAGGGTTTTTGGCCTCGCGGAATCTCTCTGGTCGGTTTTCTCTTCACTTTTCTTATTATTATTATTATTATTATTATTTTTCCTTCTCGAAAACTCGACCGGAAAATGATGAAATGTCTTTTTTTTTTATCTGATAAGAAAAATCCAATCGAAAAAATATAATCACGCGAGTGTTTGAGCTTGTGATTTTGCGAGAAAAAAGAAAGGGTAAAGTTGATATTTCAAAAGCCGGATACGAAGAATTAAGCTTATTATCGAAGAGAGACCATGTGTATAAAAAGAGTATATAAACGTAGACGAAATATGTAGGATACTTTTAACACCCTCATACGCCATGTGCAAGAGATCAAAAACCGACACTTAAAATTCGACGAATGAGAGCCGGCGTGCGAAATAAATTGGAATAGAATATGGCTCCAATACCTATTTTGAAATGTCCGACCCAAAACTTTAATGGTCGGTAATTGCTCATCTTGTTTTTCGGTTCTCCACCTTTTCTTTTCAATTTGGAGAGACCAAAAAAAATTTTGGGTCCAATGAAATTTCAAATCTACATAATTTTTTCACCTCAATTTTCTTGAACTTTTCCGAGCAAGAGAATTTGACTATTCTCGGTCCATTTCTTCCCCTACCATTTTTTGCCGTGCCCATTCTACCCCTTTCGAAACGGAAATGGTTGGTATTTATTCATGTTGATTATTCGTGTCATCGTTAAAAAACATTCCAACATGTCGATGCGCAATTTGGGTCATTCGGTGTTCGCCGGAGCTCCAAACGAGGATTCAACATGCACTCATAGATAACATCCAACATGACCTCGACCGACCTCCCTAATACTTAAGTCAGTAAATTGAAGATAATAAAGGAAAGAGACTTGGTGTATACAGAATCGATAGGGCCTCCTCGTTTATTTCGTGAAGAAAGAAGTGGAAAGTATTTTTTAAAATGATTACTTATACTGCTTGAAATAATTAGTCAATGAAAATAATTTTCATCGTCAACGATAATTTATATTTAAACATTTTCACGGATGATGAAAATATTTTTCATTTGTTTGTTCGTTCGTTTTTGTTAACGATATAAGTGATTATTTTTAGGAATTTTTTTTTTCAAATCATTCATTACTTGTGAAAATACGCATGCTCAACTTGTATTTTGTATAGCACCATTCTCGATAGGAAAAGTCTGAGGTCGGTGCCCTTATCGAGATGTTAGTAGTTCGAAACTCATCCAGCGCGAGCTAGGTACGCCCATACATCCACGGGTGACTTCGACCTCGTGACCCCGCGTCCGCGGGGGATACCAAACACCGTGCCGACGGCGGCGGTTCGGAACGCCGGCGGCTGGGGGGGGGGGTGGGTCGGGAAAAGAAGGCCCCACGGAGGCCCCATTCGGAGACGTCGACGACGGGTGACCCGACTTCCGAGGAAAAGCGGTGCGGCGGGCCCCGATGCGGCGGCGTTTGGGGGGGGGCGAGGCGCGATTTTTTCGGTTGTTTTGGGATCGCGCCAGGCGCAGGAGAGGAGGGGAAACGTGTGGGGCCCGCGGGGGTGTTCGCCGGTCCACGCGAAGGTCGTTACGGTGGGTGGGAAGGCGTGAAAACTTTATTCAAAATCGGCGACGGTTGCAGAAGACGAAGACGAGCTGCGAATCGACACGTGTAATTATTTCCGGCCAGATTATTTTGTCCTTCTGCAAGATATATATATATATATATATATATATATATATATAGACACACGCAAAAGAAAAGAAAAAAGAAATAAAGAAGTAAAAATTCGAAAAGAATATTACAATATTATTAAAAGATTTCCATGTTAGCGCCGGCCGCGATTGTCCATGTTAGCGATTTCCGGCCAAAATTGGCTAATTGGACTGAATTGGCATAACCGCAAGATGTTTACAGCTGAATTGGCACATTTTCAATATGTTTACGGCTTTTTTATTTTATTTTCTTCATATAAATGCAACTAATTGATAGCTTAGATATTTGACTGCTATTCTTGACATTTTTGTTAATTGAATGCCAAATTTACAAGACCAAAGAGCTAATAGTGCCAATCAAAAAGTTAGGAAACACATTTCAATAGTCTCCTGGTTTAGTGGGTCTTTCTGTATAGTAGCTCATTTTCAAATAAATATCAATATTTAAGTTAATTTCGTTCTTCGCAAAAACTTTACTTATAAAAAGGATCGATAATTTATAATTAAGATCGACACGATTCTTATGTTCTAATCGCATCACTCTGATCTTCACGAATCAATACAAAAGCGAGCGCCCCTTGAAACGGTTGCTCAAGTCCGACACGGTATTAATGTACATAGAGGGATTTTTTAGGTGATTCTACAATCAATGCACTTGTTGCCTTCTCTATGAATATGCTTCAACTCGATCTTCAATTCTCGCGCATGTTACATCGAAAGGTTGCTGTCGGCAGCGTTCCTTGTACAGTTCTAGTCTGGGACAGACATGATTGAGATTTCACTTCCAAGATCATTTCTTTGGAACCAAACTTATATCCCAAGTGGGAGACCCAAATACCCAACTTACAACTTTACCAAGTCAAGAAAAGAAAACCCTTTTGGCACGTTTCAACTTTCAAACACTAGACAAAGATGCAAGTTCATGCTTCGAACAAGCATTTAGGGGAAGAAAGATGAGTTTGATTTGAACTTTCAAATTGAGGAAATCGTCTTAGGAAAGACATGAAAGCCCCACATTCCCAAGTGGCGGGGCCACGAATCGCATGGATCCAAATCGAATGCGCCTGATTGGCTGCATCGAGGCCAAACGTTAAACCCATTTCACCAAAAAGCAATAACGTATCATTCACGTCAAATAAACTCGATTTATGAATGGCGTAACGAAGAATATCAGGTTAATTACGATGCAAATATCACGTGAACTTACTTCCGTAAAACTAAGGACGTATTGCATTGTCTTTTTCATACGTAATTGGCTTGGTGTACCTGGTATGTTCCAATTGGACAGATTAGAGTAATCAATCAGAGAGGATCAACTATTGCAGCCGAAAAACTGGCCATTGCCCATTTTGCTGTTGATGTTGGAGGATTTCGAAATCAATGAGCAGTGAATAAGCACCATTTCCGACCAAAAATTAGAAAAGAAAACAAGCACCATCTCTTTTTTTTATTATTATTCCATTTTTTTATGCTCAAAACCCTTTGATTATATACTATCTCCAAGAATCCATCTTTAGCGAATTCATTGTTAATCATCAAGAACCTCATTCACCATTGAATTTGATCGAGACACTCGCAAAAGGCACTCAATCCTCACCCATAGAATTAAGGAGCTCAGATTCTGTTTGTCTCTTTGCAGATTTCTGGTCGATGTACCTTCTTCATACCTCTTTCACTCCCAAAGTTCCCACTTTTTGCGCGTAGAACTCACCCCGTAGAGCTAGTCACCCGAGAACACCATTTGCTGTGCCTCTCACGAATGGTCCTCTTCGTTCGGTATGAACTGATCGCGGTCGTTGAGGACGATGTCGAGTGCTTGCAGGGTCTCAAAGCCTCGCTCGGCGACCCACAAGGGAAGCTGAGTTCTTGGAGATTCGCAAACTCCTCGGTCGGGTCCATGTGCAAGTTCGTGCTGGAACGACCATACGCAACCTCTAGCTCTGAGGCTTGGACTTGTCGTGGCAGGTTCCGGAGTCATTGCAGTATTGCCAGAACTTGCAGACCTTGGATCTCTCAAACAATGGCTTCTCTGGTTCGATCCCTTGTCCAATATGCACATGGCTTCCTTGCTTGTGACATGAAGGCTTCGTTTGCTTTAGGGAAAATGAATGATTTGAGAAAATATATTCCAAAAAATAAACATTTGTATAGTTTGAAATAATTAGTTAATTAAAAATGTTTTTCATTATCAACAACAATTAATATCTAAATATTTTCGTGAACAATGAAAATAGTCATCGTTCGTTCATTTTTGTGAGCGATATAAAAAATCATTTTCAGGAAAATATTTTTCAAATTATTTATTTTCCACGAAACAAACGCACCCTATGCTCTGTCCACCTTTCGGGCTCTATAACACACGAGCTAGTGAACTGTGCTTACTTGAACAATCTTGTGCTCTCGAATGATCGCCTCACCGGGACTAGACCTTATTGAATTTTTTGACTCTAGGAAGGCTCAAGAAGTTCTCGGTCGCGAACAATGATTGTAGAGGGACGATCCCTTCGTTCTTTGATGGGTTTGACAAGGCAAGTTTTGCAGGGAATGATCTCTGTGGAGGGCCTTTAGGGAAGTGTGGGGGGTTGAGCAAGAAGAACCTGGCAATCATAATTGCTGCAGGGGTTTTCTGTGCCACGGCATCTCTGTTGCTGGGTCTTGGTTGGTATCATCTGAGGGTTGTGAGGAGGAGGAAGAGGATATATGGGATCAGGAGGGACGATGATAGTGTTTGGCTGAGAAGCTTAGGGCTCTCATATGCTTGTCCAGGTTTCTTTGTTCCAAAAGCAGATCGTGAAGGTCAAGTTGGCTGATCTACTGGCCACCACAAATAATTTCAGCACGGAGAATAAAATCATTTCTACTAGGACTGGTTACACTAACAAGGCCATCATCCCGGATGGCTCCGGGCTGGTGATCAAGCGGCTCAATACTTGTAAGCTCGGGGTAAAGCAGTTCCAGTCGGAGATATAGCAGTTGGGACAACTGAGGCACCCAAATTTGGCGCACCTTTTGGGGTTTTGTATAGTGGAGAAAGAGAAGTTGTTGGTTTACATGCACATGTCGAATGGCACTCTTTACTCTTCGTTGCATGGAAGCGGTGTTACATAAATTGGCCAACTAGGTTCCGGGTCG